TTGTTTTGCTTTCTGAGTTTCTTACACCTACCTGAAGCTCAGTTATGATCACTGGACTTTTTTGTCTCTGCTTCAGGTTCACATCATCAGAAAAGATCATCACACACAAGGGTCTCACCACTTCTGTAGCAGTCCAACCCATAATTCCTTCTTACACTTTAATTCCCATAGGCAGACATTTAAAGCAATTGTAATCATTCATACTCCAGAGGTAAACAGAGTTCTCATGTTTGGCATAGACAGTAAGCTCCCCTGTTGGAATACAGTATGATTGCCAACACAGTGGTATGATTGCCATCTTTAGACATCTGTTTTGGAGTCTCTTATGTTTCATGTATTCATAAGTTAGCTCCTAATTGGTGAGTGGTTTTTTCCATGTAGTCAGTTATGGTAAGTTTGACCTCAAAGTGTTGACACTGCAGCCTGGGTAGATGGAATATTTTTTCTGTTGCATTGTGTGTCTTCCTGTTGCCTGTGTGCCTGCACCTGCCACTCTGCCTGAGTTTTGAGTCCTTCTTCCTCACAGTGCATGAGATTTGTTAATAGACCGGATCAGTTCTGTCACGTACTAATAGGCATTTTCTTCCTGCCAGCAAACTTTTGAGGGCACAGACTCCTACAGCTTTCACCAGGAGCTCTCACTTGCCCGAGGGGTCAGCAGTGCTCTCTGTTGAATGGCCACTTTTGAAAAAAACCTACATGTGTTTCCTTATTCAGTTGTTTTTACTGGGCTTATTGAGAGCTATCTGTGCTTTATCCAAGCTTAGGGCAGGGCAATTGTGTTAAGGCAGAGTGTGCTGACAGGGCAGTTCCCTTGTTTTTCACTACACTAATCAGTCAGTCTGTATGGTGTGCTTATAGGGTTCTTACACTTCAAATGCACCAGGGCAAGGACTACTCTTTTGTTACACTTTTGTAGAGATAATTTCATTTGTCTTCCAGTCCACTGCTATGGTTTATGCTAAGATCGATAATACATGCTATTATACTGGAATCAAAGAACAGGTCTTGTTTCACTAGCAGTCGTCTTGGTTGATCTTAAGTGAGTAAGAAGTGTATTTTTCAGAGTTGGAACTCTAGTGCTAGAGCTACAAAATCAAAATCTATAGTTCAGAGCCATAAAAGATTTGAATGATTTTTGAAACAAATATGAAAGACCATCTATCATTCTTCAAGAACACGCTGAAGCATAAAACAACATGAAAACAATCGTGGTAGATGTGAAATGAGTTTGTGATAAAACATACCCTGAAGGACAAGATATTTACACAGAGAGGAAGACAAGAGTAACTTTCCTCAGCTTTTCAATACCTATCTTTTAGAGCCAAAGGTCCTGGGGCAAAATCTTCAAGCTGTTTTAGGTAGTTTCGGTTTCTTTACAATACCTGAGAGAAAAATTTATCTCAAGGAAAAGGGTTCTTAAATGCCAACAAACAGACCAGGAAGACACCAGAGAGTCTCAGTCAGGGCTCTCTTGCTCTAGAGTTGAGATGGCTATTTCTGCTTGGGATTCACAGTCTGGACAATTTTTTTCCTGTGCCTGATGTCTGAACTATTTTCCTGTAATTAATGCCGAATTATTTCCAAGGCTGAAAAGAGATCACTCTTTTCTTTTAGAAAGACTTGGAAATGGAAGAAGCTCTTTTATACAGCAACTACATTGTATGAGACCATTCAACTGTGATACAGAAAATCTAAGCCTTTCTCTTCCTGGGCATACCTTTCTGTAGCCCTCTGACTTTTCCAACATAGCAAAAGAAAGGGAACACAGAGAGCCAGGAGGAGCTACGGCTTCAGAGGTAGGAACAGTAAAGCCAGAGATAAGTAGACAGAAGTGGCACTAATTCTGTTTTGTGTGGAACTCAGCTCATGCTTCCTGACTGGCAAGGAATGCCTATGGGGCTGGTGTGAGCCTGCTCTCTGTGCTAGGGCTGAAGCCTGCTTACACTTTGGATTCACTTCAAGTATCTTACAGTGCTTAGATTTACTTAGAAAACCGTGGCCACTTGTTTTTCCTCTGTGACACTCAATGACTTTGTGTAATAAGCTGGGTCTCCAGACTGGCAAGGACAGAAGACACAGCAAAGGGAGGGTGGAGGGATAACCAGAGTACCAGTGATAGGGAGTCAGAATGACAAATGCTTTTCTTGTCAGGAAACCTGGTTTATATATACACGAAACATATCCTGAATTTCTCTGGGGGTTTAACCCAAGATCACACGAAAATGTGCAGCAGAAGAGAACCAAACCCTTAAGCATCACTACAGTGCCTAAGGGAAGTGGTTTTGTGCTTGTTTTAGGCAGACCTCTTGATTTAATGCAGATACACTGGATAACACTTGAGAGTAACACCAACCTAAATGCTCTAAGGATAGAACCACATAGAGTGAAAAAAACCAGTGAGAAAATTGAATTCCTTTCAGCCTTATTAGTCTAAAGTGTGAAATGGAACAGAATTAGGCGTTATTTAAAATATACATGCTATCTAATATAAAATATAAAGTGCCCCATTCTTCCCTCTGAGACGCCAGGGAATTGTATTGCACTGCCAGGGAACTCTGAATTGAGTATTAGTGGAATTACTCAAGAGAGGAATTATTCTTTTGGAAAGGATTTGCCACTGCTGCCATTGTTTAGTATTTTCCTTGTCATGGGATACAAAGTAAGCATCTATGGAACATAGGAAATATCCTGCAGTATTTTAGCATTAAAAAATACCAGTGTTTTAAAGGATCTTGGCATTTCTGAGAGGAACTGACTGGAGCATAATTTTACTTCAACTGAAATTTCTATCATTTGTGAAGGATGACTTGCTAAATAAAGGTAATTTCCTTTTTCAGATTTGCAGCCAAACAAAGCACTTCTTACCCAATGCCATTAGCAATGCTACTCCAAAAAAAAAAAAAAAAGGCACTCCTATTTCTAATAGTGCTTTATTTCCTAATATTTTCTGTTTAATTTTTTTCTGCTTTTAATTTACTATTTAACTTGTTCCTTGCAACAAAGGTATGCTGCAACACTACGGAAAAAATACTTGGAGTGTTATTCTTTTTTTGAATACAGATTATTTACTATCAAGTACTTATCCCTGCTTTAGTGAAATCTGAGTGATTAGTATTAATACTAAAGTGTGTGCTGCTGAGCTCTCTCTGGGCAGTGGAAAGGCAGTTCCAATAATCTGTGTGCTCGTGGGCATTCTGTGAGGATCGTGAGGAGATTCAGGCACCAGACAGCAGAAAGGAGGTGTAAGTGTGTAAACTGTTACAAGGGACTTCAATCTGTTCCATTTTTTATTCCTAAGACCCCGTAAGGAATTTCCTTGAAACTCTCTCCGGTGAAATAAATGTTCCCTGACAAAAACTGAACGGGGGTCAGGCTGCTGGAGTGCTCTGCCTGCTGCTGTACCCCCTGTCAGGGATGTTTGTTCTGCACAGATGCATTGTGCATCCACAGCCAGGAATTTCCTGTGTAGCTAGAGGAGACTAAACTGGGTGCTTTTAAAAGAGCAGATATTCTTTAATCCTGCTGCAGACAGGCAGAGCTGAGTTTTAGTACATAATAACTAGGTAAGATGAATGGTAATCCACGTGGAAGACTTTCACTAAGTATCCAGCTGTATAAAATGCATCACAATATTGAAACTCCATCCTCTTTGCCTAGTTTCAAGTTCTGCCATAAATCAGCATTCGTTCATTAGTGTTTGCTAAACATTGTGCCCTTTGTCATAAACCTTGGCTCAAGCTTGTATGTATGCCAGTAGATTTATATTTGTATAAACCTGATCTGGCTAAGACTTCTTTTGCTCTTTGTTTGAACACACAGATTCCAGCCTTTGTACAGAGGTTTTACCAGAATTAGTCTGAAGACAAGCTCCAAGACAATCTCAGGGCCTGGCAGCCCCTTGGAAACAAGGGTTTAAAAAATAGTTTGCATAAAGTCCCAGGAACAGAAACTGCAATATTTTACCTCTTTTACCATGTTCCTGGGACGGGACTGAAACCAGAATCTTGGAGCCAACTGTCCCAAACCTTGGAGAAGGTCAGATTCATTACAAATGTGATATATTGCTCCAAACCCAAACCTGACCACTAATAGCTGTTTTTGACAAAACAGTTCTCTTAAAAAATGCTGTTTTGTTGGACTTTTGACATTTTGCAAGAATATTTTGATTTCAAGGAAAATTTTAAAGGAGAAGGCAAGCAAGCACATTATTTGAATACTGTCAAAAAGATTTGCTTGGATTTTTTTTTTCAAAGTAATTATGTTTCATTATTTTATGATCCCTTACATTAGTATTTTGTAACTTTTATACCGTAATAGAGTTACAGTGAAATATTCTGGCATTATCAAAATATTTAGCTTACATAAAATTTTGACCTTACAATTGCTGCAATAAAGGGAAAGCACATGTACATATCTCAGAAAAATGAGATAAAGATGATTTCAACACAGGCCTGCAATTCAGTTTATTTACGTGGAGCACAACGCAGGCAGAGAACTTCACTGACTTCATGCTGATGTACCATGGAATTGTGCTGCACATTTGATTAAATTTGCTTACTGATGTTCAAAGGTGGACTTTCGCAGGTTCTTACCTCACCTGGGGAACTGCAGGCTTCAGTCTCACTTCAAGCCAACATGTTTGCCTGTAGCTGTAGCAGAGAAGTGCTTTGCACAGGTAGGTCCAGTCTCTTCCCACACCTGGGACAGGCTGGGTCTGTGCTGGGAGCAATCATTCCCTGAATACTTCTGCGACGTCATGGCAGCATCAAGGAGCGCTGTGCTGCTGCCCCTGGGCCTCAGGGGACATCTCTCACTTCTCTCCTGGTATCTGCCTGGAAAAGGGAAGACACAGACAGGAGGCCCAGCTCTCCTCTCTCATCTAGTCTGCAGTTCCATGAGGGATGTGTCCCTCTCTAATCACACCAACTTAACCACTGCAGGTGGAAGGAGGAGCTATCAAAGACAGCCACCACTGGGACAGAGCAACCACCACCACTGCCTCCCACAGCTGTTCAAAGAGCATCAGTGCCTAAGCTCCAGCTTGACCCAGGACATGGGCTGTCCTCCCTACATTAGGGCTGAGAGGGACTTCACAACAGGTGGCAGAGAAGCACAGGACAGACACAGCACGGGCAGCAGATGACCCACAAACAAAAGCCTGATCTGACTACAGGATCAAAGCCTTGGCATTTTTAGTCTTTTTCAGGAGTGCTTTCTTGTATTAAGGCTGAGAGAATTGGAATTGTTCAGCCTGGAGAAAGAGAAGGCTTCAGGGTTACTTAATTGTGACCTCCAGTTCCTACAGGGAGCCTATGAGGAGGATGGAGAGAGACTATTTACAAATGCCTGGAGTGACAGGAAAAGGGGGAATGACTTCAAACTGACAGAGAGTAGGTTTAAATTGGATATTAGGAAAAAATGCTTTCCTGTGAGGGTGATAATACACTGGCACAGGTTGTCTAGAGAAGCTGTGGATGCCCCCATCCCTGGAAGTGTTCAAGGCCAGGTTGGATGGGGTTCTGAGCAACCTGGTCTGGTGGACGGTGTCCCTGCCCATGGCAGGGGGTTGGAACAAGATGATCATTAAGGTCCCTTCCAACCCAGACCATTCTATGATTCTGTGATTATATAGATCCTTTCTGGTCTTCATATATTCTGAGTAATAGAACCATGTATTCCATAGAAACTAAATATCGTTCCCAATGTCAAGATATATCTGTTACTTTATATGAAAAAAGTGTCTGATTTTGTTTATATTTGGCAAAAAAAGAGTTAATGCCTGATGATGAATCCTTTGGGCTTGGTAGCTCTTGGATTGTGCCATTCTCACTGCCAGCCCAGGTGGGAAACTTCAGGTGCTGTCTCTAAGAGGAATAATTAAAAAGATAATTTTTTTCCTGTGTGGCAGGTTCATCTATATCTCTTTTACTGAAAGGTCTGCAAAAACATCCATGTTCTCACAGAAAACAGGCAACTGCCTTTTTGTTTTCCAGGAAGAAATTTGAGCAGATGGGTGAAAAGAATTACTAAATAACACAAAGTGCTGGTCTGAAACTGGCCGGAGACTCCTTACTAACAGCAAAAGTCCCTTGATCCCTCTTTGCAGAGCACATGGAACAGTCGGTCACTGGTTTGCAGGTAAGACTCGGATATTTCCTTCTTTCAAAATGTTTGTTAATTAAAATTTCAGCATTAATTTATATATATATGCATTTTTCATAGAAAAGTCAAAGTAAAATTATGGGGAAGCAAGGCAGAAGATTCTAAAATTTAATAGACAGAACTTTTCAGTTTTTAAAGGAAATTGCCTGAAGCAGCCATATGTTTACTTATTTGTTTCAATCTCTTTATATTTCATTAAATAGAAAGTTTCCCTGCAGCTACTCTTGCTCTTAAGATTTGTTCAGAAACAGAGAAAGAAAAGAGAATAACAAGTAATGGAAGGGAAAAAAAAGCTGCTTAGTTCAAGTACAGAGCAGAACATATGAAGGCATTAAGAGCAGCAAAGTGTCTACTGGCAAACTGTGAAAATGAAAAAAAATAAAAGAGAGATTTTTAAATATACATTGAAAACACATACATCTGTACACAATAGGATTGGTTACCCAAGCTTACTTTTGCAAATACATAATTAAATATTATGCACAGTGAATACGATCCCTTACTGTGTTTGGTGGCTGCCTCAATGGAAGTAACAGGTAGTTGTGGATTTTTTTACTTTGTACAAAACATGATGCCAGAGGAAGACTTACTGGATGGTCTGGCAGATGCTTATGTGCTCAAGCATGTTCACATCCAGTCGTGCACTTTATCTTGATGTCTGGACAAAGCACCACTAAAATCACAGAACTGGTGTGGTATTCCAGGTCCAGCAACTGAAGTAGGTCACAGCACTAGTCTTTAAGTTTTAAATTACTTCTCCTGAAAAGGAAGATGTAAACATGCTTGTCATCTACACATACACTTTGCAAGGCATCAAACGTAGAAACCCAAAGGAACTGAGACAGCATAATCTTTTAAGTAAAAATACATATACATAAAAATACATACACCTTTAAAGCTACCTATTATATCCAATGTTTTGCTCGTGCAAGTAAATATATTTATTTAAATGGACTAAAGGCATATTCAGCTTTGTCCAATATAAATACTTACTCTGTATCAGTTTAATCTCCTTGTTAAATGCTTCCCCAAGTTTTGCGGAGTCTCCTGGATTTCTGTTCTTGCAGACATGGAAAGTGTAGGAGCGAGGAAAGCAATCAGGAATTTTGCATGTGAGTCTTATAGAAGAAAATAGATCTAAAATTCCTACTAAATGTATTGCCAAAATACAGGCATATCTTTCAAAATTCTGAGTTTGTCTCATATCAAGTGATGCTTTGGATTACTAGGAAAGTAGGAACAAACCTTTTAGGAAAATACATTGTCAATAGTGCTTGTAGCAGTTGTAGAGAAATGTCTAAAAATTTCCCTGTGCAGTCCACTGAATGCAAGCTACCAGGTCTATTAAAATGCATTTAAGGTTTTAATTTGTGATTTTCACAGAGGTGAAAATGAAAACAAAGCACATCAAACTACCAGAACTAAATAAAACAACACAAGTACCAAGAGCTAGTTTTCAGGACAGAGGCTTAAAGTATTACCCACTTACTCCCTTTCTTATAATTTAATTCTTGTATTCCCCACAACAGACATTTATTTTGAATCCTCCTAATTATAATTCCAATGAATAAAATAATGCCTTGGACTTGCTACTGGATCAACAGGAGTAATCCTGCTCTGGGCTTTATTACCTTCCAAGGAGCTCTGAAAGGAACACAATTGTTTATGTGTCGGTTCATTTCCAAACTCGGGGCCTTGTTTTGCAAAACATCAGCTATAATGACTGAAAAATTAAAATGAATTTGAGGTTTCCCCCACTCCATGTAACTAATCTATACTTTATGTAGAACTGAGGAAATTCCTTGATTCTAATCTTGAAGGATAAAAAGGCTTTGTAAACTATTTTATATATTCAACGCACAGTTTTTATTGCAGACAACTGTATTTCTACCTAATTTTCTCAACCTCACTATACAGTCCAGTGAGTTTAAATCAATTCATGTATTGTAATAATTTAAGGCCTTTCTGTCTGAAAGGCATGCAGACATGGGAATCAGGGGTCAGACTTGGTCCTATTAAGAAACAAATACATGTGGGAGTTTCAGGTTTCAGACCAGGTGCTTGAAAAATCGCCTCCCTCTATGTCAACGATGTTTTCTTTCTGGCAGGCATTTTCCAAGCTTAAACATAAGCAGAAAACCCCATATAGACTGCTGAATATTCTTAAACTTATTAGGGGCAGAACTTTGATTACCTGTTGGGTCTGGAGATCACAGAATCATAGAATATCCTGAGCTGGAAGGGACCTACAAGGTTCATTGAAATCCAGCTCTTGGCCCTGCACAGACACCCCAGCAATCCCACCATGGGCCTGAGAGCGTTGTCCAAACACTCCTTGAGTTCTATCAGGCTTGGAGCTGTGCCCGCTGCCCTGAGAGCTTGTTCAGTGCCCAGCTGCCCTCTGGGGGAAGAAGCTTTTTCCAAAATCCAACCTAAGCCTCCCCGCAGCTCCAGCTGTTCCCTGGAGTCCTGTCGCTGGTCACCAGAGAGCAGAGGTCAGTGCCTGTCCCTCCACTGTCCCTCGTGAGGAAGCTGCAGGTGGCCATAAGTCTCCCTTCAGTCTCCTCCAGGCTGAACAAACCAAGTGTCCTCAGCTGCTTCCCCTCAAGGCCCTTCACCATCTTCATAACCCTCCTCTGGATGCTCTCTAATAACTTGAATGTGGGTTACAACCTTCTCCAGTCATATTCATCTAGTCCGAGATCTTTGTAAATAAAATTGTATTGTGCTTGCCATCAAAATAGAGCAGGGAAAGGGAACAAATTTCTACCTATGGCTGGCAGACAGAATGAGATAGTTCAGTTTGTTAATAAAGAAGGAAAGTATATTTGCAGCCACCAGGTAATTCAAAAAGTGTTCAGAAACTAAACTGAGCTGTTTCTCCTGTGTTGAGTGTAATAGTGTGCCTGAACAAAATGAGGTGAAATGATATGCTGTTCACCATTTTTCACCAAATGTTAAGGCTGGTTTGGTCTCAGAAGGACAAGAGACACATGCTCTTGTCCAAAGAAACAAGTTTTCTGAATGATAAAAAACAACCTGTGCCTTTTGTCTCTCAAAAACTGTCTCCAAATAATTAAGTTAGAGGACAACAATAGTAACTATTATAATCCTATGTAGCTCATAAAATGGTTGCTTTCTTCCAGCAGCTGTCCAAACAGCACCATGGCAATTGTTTGGCAAAAAAACATCCCCTGGCTCACGTTCCTGGCAGAATTGACAGCATCCTCACCACTCCAGAGATTGTCTCTTCCCGTGCTGGTTCAGCCTTCAGTGCATCCATGGAGCACAGTGCACAGTGACTGAGCCCATCACCCCAAGGCAATGGTTCTGCTGGTGGCAGTAGCAGAAGTGCTGTTGGTGCTGGGTTTGGCTGTGGAGTCCCACTCACTCTGCTCACCCACCGCCTTTTACAAGAACTGCTGGATCCGACGCTTCCCAGGCCTTCTGATTGACCTGCAGGAATCACAGAGGAGGGGAGCCCGGATGCTGAAGGTTTATGCAGAAGTCTCACCCCAACAGTGCAGCAGAACCTGCTGCCTTCTGAAGAATGGTGAGTGTTTATTGTCAAGATCGTGGCACAAGTTAAAATTTACATCACGGCATACAAGAAACACATTTTGGGTAATGTTTATATAAACATTCCTTTATTTGAAGAACAAATGGGGGAGAGGATCTATGTATTTTTTTGAGGCAGGAAAGCAGAGGCACTTTGTAACTGTTCTCCCATTTTCAGTCCCATAGAAAGGAAATTGATAATCTGAGTTTTCTGGAAGACTACACTAGAAACATGTGAAAATCTTAGGGTCTGCTCTGAAATTTTAGTTCTGTGTTACAAAGCTTATAGACAATGCCAACATTAAAAGAATCACCATCTACTCCTGTAGAGAACAACCAGTGACAGTGATTCCAACAGCACTTCTTTTCATGAAGTATGGCATCAGAAAGAGGAGGGAACACACAATTTTCCTCTGAAATACAAGAATGTTAATTTCCTTGGAGAAAGCACTCTCTTATTCTGTGTTCACACCATGTTTGTGGTGCAAACCAAGTATAACATTAATATGAACAATAAAGTTATAGCAATAAATGATAGCAGTTATTGAGCTGGCAACCTTTTTCCCTAGCCTTGTAAACTCAGAAGAAAAACAAAGAAAAATCATTGTTTATTTTAAGCCAAATACTGTACTTTGTATCACACTGCACTGGTATGCTATAGAAGTATATTTTAGGAAAATACATGAAGTGCATGTCTGTGGTGCCTAAATTTTCAAAACTCACAAGACTTGAACAGGGTTTTGGATATGGAGAATGAAAGCGAGGAACCAGTTACAAAAAAAGTCAATATAAAATTTGATGAAATTTTGAATTATGAGCAAAAATATGACCTTGACAATCTGACAATGACATAACTGCCAGCAGCATTCCTGGGAAGAATCAAATTCTGTCTTAAATAATGTGAGGAAATAAAAATTTAACACATTTCAGCAATGTTCTTCCTATTTGGACAACAAACTTTTTCTCATAGAACAAGGTACTGTATACCTTACAGAGATAATTAATGGTAACTTGGAATCTCCTTTTTATATTCTGACATAGTCAAGCAAAAAATTTGTTACAATCTTAACTAAAATAGAGACAGTAGAGGGCATTTCAACAATACACTTTAAATCAGTTATTATTTAATCAGAGACACATTTAGAACACAGGTGGCTATTCTGATCCAGATGTAAAAAAGAATATAATTATAAGTAGTTCTACTTTTTTGACTGTTATGCTCAATTAGTTTGCATGCTAATGAGAGACCTACAATATTTGGTTCTCTCTTCCCATAGGATCTTGCCAGAGCTGCCCAGTATTAATGATCTTCTGATGTTAAATAACATAATAATGTGCAAAATGCAAAGGTCATTCTTCTGAGAAGCTCAATTTTATTCTTTATGGATTGTAGTTTCCTGCAATCTAGCAGTGTTCTACCATGGAGCCATCCATGAGAATAGGAATTGCCTGCACATGTCTTGCCCAGCATTGGAAAGCTGCATCCTGAAGGCTGGAATCAATGCCATTTTGTACAACATCACAACAGGTAATTAGGCACTTCATTTATAAAGGCTGAAAACACAGCAACTAGAGAAAATGTTAAAATTATACCAAGTCAGCTGCTGTGCTAGAAGATGTTCTGAAGTAACATGCTTCTGAAGTAAAAATGTTTAAGACTTTTTTCCTTCTTCACTACGTACCTCCAGCTGAAAATACTTCCCCCCATTCTCCACTGAGTGAGAAAAAACCTTAAAGATACGTCCTGCTCTCAAGATTCATGCTCTGAGTAACTTATCAATACTGTTTGCCCAATATTTGGGCAATTACCTACCAGGTCTGAGAGACTGAGTGTGGAGGTTGCCACTGCTCCATGTCCCCAGATCCAAGCAGTAGCAAGGTTGAAAATTTATTCTCATTAGGCATATGCACAAAGAGCACACGGGTTACACAGCCAAACACATGAAGCAGGCACACAACCACAGGTAGCACCAAAAGCCTCATCCTGCTTTTTCTAGCTCACAGGATGGAGATCTATTAGTGAAAATATATATATACACATATATAAAATGCAAACCTACCCAGCAGCTGGGCTGAGATGCTCAGTCTGCCCACTCTGGACCCCAGTCTCCCCAGTTGCTGTCACCTGATGTTTGAGCCCCAGGGGTACAGCTTCCCTCCAGTTGCTGGTGCAACTATCACACACACACACACACAGAGCTTTCTGGGATTTCCCTACCCCCAGTAACCTAGATCCCACCCTTTCCTCACCTTTGGTTCCTTCCCCAAGCATCCCATAATAAGTCTTGTGCAATCCCAAAATGCACTTCCCTCGCATCCCTTGAGGTGTCCCACAGTCTCCAGTCCAGAAGGTGCCGATGGGTATTATTTGGGCTCCCTGACCTGCCACTGTCTCCGTGTAGTCCTTTTGTGGGTGTGCAGACAAGCTCTTATCACACAAAACTAACATTGTTATGATTTCGTAGGGATTGATCCAGATCTTCTTATTTTTGAAAAACTGACATCCAAAGAGCCAAATATTCACTCCTCACTGAGTGAATACAAAAGGCAGAATATCACAAAGACCACCGAGGGGGAAAGATGCCAACACCACAATGCCACATCAAGTTCTCCTCTGCTCCAAGCTCCAGCCTCTACCACGAGCCATGGCTTAACATTAAACACTTACACCTCCAGCACAAGCCTCATGGTCCAAAAAAACAAAGTTACTACTTATTCCAGGGCAGAAACTTTTCCAACAGATGACCAATTTGCTAAGAGGACAAGCACAACTTCAGTAAGCACCAGGCAAGCCACCAGCTCAGACAAGAAGACCGAGCACTCAACTTTGACATCCAGGTCTGCCGATGGAGTATCCCACATGCCCACTCCTCCTCGTCTGAACAGCAGCAAGCAACACTTGAATGAAACCAAAGGCTACAGTGGTAGGAATTCTACTTCGGAAAATGAGGCACCTGCTTGGGAAGTGTCAGCTTTGGGAGTCTGGTTGATTCCTGTTGTTCTTTGCTCTTCTCTCCTCTGCCTTTGCTGTTGCACTGTTGCTCTCACGACAGGGCGCTGCAGCAGCAGGAGAGGTCAGTATAAGCCCATAAGGAGAAGAACAAAAATGTCAAGACAATTCATAAAATATACTACTGTCAAAAGTAATTTGTAAAACGCTTGTCAGAATCCTTTCTATGGAACAAATAGGCTTTTAAAAATGCATCCTATATACCACTTTATTTCTTTTACAGAAGTAATGATATTTTTTCATAATATTTCAGTTATAATTTAATTCTTGTCAGATGAAACACAATTCCCCTGCCTCTTTAGCTAAGAAGTACACACTCATAGCTCCCACTGTGTGCTCAGAGGTGTTCAACCATGTTTTGGTTCATAATCTGATGCCAAGTGATGTCTAACAAACAGTGTAACACTTTCCCTAACTTAAGAGAGCAGGTTCGCTGCAGCTGTACCTATTAGCATGTCTATGTGTCAGAATATTGTTTAATTAGTAAGATTAATGCAGTGTTCAAAGACTAAACCGATGAGGTTGTAAGGCCACGTGAATACCTAGTTACAGCTGAGCAGATTTCAGAAGAAAAGACCTCTCTAAAATTATATTTTAGTCCACATTGATCAGCACTGGAACTTAGAAAACTGGAGTTTAAAAAAACCCCTTTTTTATAGTATTTTATTGACATCATATGCTAATTTGTATGTAATAGAAGAGAGACTGACACAGGATAAGAACATTTTAGAAGAGTAGTGTTATTTAATCAGTTGAAATAACACAAAAGAAAATTCTTCTATTTCAGCTAGAAAACTTAGAATTAGGTATGACTTGTTTTTAAGGGCAGTCCTATGCTTATGTATAAAGTGATAAAAACTCTATAGGTGTGACCACTGCATGATGTACTTTAAATTTGAACAGCCTTTTATCATCAAATTGTACTTTCCTAATTCATAATGTGGCTGAATCTAGTCTAAATATCACAAAAAATTTCAGCTAAGAATGATGAGACCTCAAGGGCTCTTCTGAGTTACAGTTGACAGGTATTCTTTTCTAGTTTTTTGACACCAAAAGGAAAGGAGCTAGGAGGAAACAAACAAAATACTCTATATTTTATCAAAGGATGAATGTGGTGACATTGTAAATAAAGAATGTTTATCATCATCTTAGGGTAATCTTCATGGACCTGACCCCAAAATGTAAAAGTCTCAGGGGTGACTCCTTTTGTTAGGAAACAAAGGCAGAGGTGAATCAGAGGAGGAACTCGGCTCCTCCAACTGTAGATGTCTGGGATGTGCTTTGTATCCTTTCTCCACATCTTACACTGAGATCATCAGTAGGCTCCTTTTTAGACCAGGAGCTGCAGACTGTGTGGCTCAGGATTTTCTTTGTACAGTGCTCTACTTCAAATTCCCTCTCAAATTCTGAAGGAAAAGGTTGTGGCTCAGCAAACCACCCTTCTGTTAATGATATAAGCAGGCTTAACTCCATTTATAAAGTCTTCACCAAGAAATTAGAGCTTTGCAAAGTTCATGTTTTGACCTTTACCACATTCACAGATCACAAATCTGATCAAATACATTAAATAAACTGATTAATCACATGCTCCATGTCAAGTTATGGTACTTCTCATCTCACTCAGTACTGATGACAAGCGTGTTTTGTTATACAATTCTCCCCCAACACACTTCAGCCAGCACTGTCACACCAATTTGCAATGAAAGTGCTTTTGAAATTACTTTTCTCCTCATAATTTTTAAAATCGTAACCAAGGAAACACACTTTAAAACCAACTTACATCTAAAATGTAAGCTACCTGAGCATCTGCTGACAGCCTGCAGACTGCAAACTCAATAGTGCTTGGCCTCTGCCAGCTTGTCTGACTCTTCCATCCTATGAATGACCCTCCATAGCAGCTTGATTCAAGAAAAAAAAAAAAAAAAGAAGAAAAGCTAGTCCTAAGGGATGGACACTACTGTTAAATTTAAAAAAGAAAAAAATCACCAAAATCAACTCCTGAAAAAAAGTGAAAACCTGCTATTCTTACACATTCCTGCAAATGCAAAGACCAGCACATATATCTTTTCCCTAGACAGGACACACTAACATGCCGGAAACACAAACCTCTGCAAGGAGGCATTAGTTTTGACAGAAATAAGTCAGAGGTAGTATAGTATCTTCTTTCAAAAAGGTGGTTTTTCCACCTCCCTTTACTCTTAGAAAAGAGCCTTTTATCTGATAATTGATGAGCTGAGCTGACTGCATCAAGTCACAGTCATTCTATGTTTTTTTCATCTCCAGATTAGTGACTGTATAGTGCATTTAACAGCACCTTGATGTTCCTTTAATACTTACTCTCAATACAGTGTTCTGTAGAGTCATATAATGTAACTAGGACTTCAGAACTCACCAGAAAAAGAAAATGAGGCAAAGTGAAAATTTATGCGCAAATGCTTTTGGGCCAGGATGGAATGGCTGAAATAAGATCATGTTCTGGAGAACCTTCTTGGTTTGTTGTCATATAGGGAAAAAAATAGGCAGGAAAAGGGTTACATGAAACACAATAGCAGAACTCTTTTATTACAGACTAAGAGAGTCACAAGAAAATAAATACATACATTTTAGGTATGAGGGAAAGCAAGAAGATGGTTTGTCCGGACAGCACATCCCTTTTTAGGCAACTGTCCCTTTATCCTTTACTTAGCAATGCTATGCCTGAAAACAGGGTAAAAGTGTCCACTCTTTGGAATGTTTATATGGGAGGTAAAAGACAGAATAATCTCCTCAAGAGCACCAGTGAAACTAAGCATCACCAGTATTCCATTCACACAGGTATGTGCAGAGGGATGCACACCTTAGTCATTAATTTGTATTATAATGTACATGATATGTTAGTAAGTGACCATTGCTAAGGATGGATTTATTATTGTCCTGTAGAGGTGTTTTAACCTGGAAGTCTGTGAATCTCTAACTCTTCACAGGTTTTAAATTTCAGTGGGAAAATAGAGATGTGTCATTTACTTCAAAAAAACACGTGCTATATTATACATCACTGAGACTCCCACTGGAGTTAAGATCCCAGTGCTCCAGGTATTCTACATTAATTACAGAGAAATACTGTCACCTTCAAACACAAACAGCTCAGAGGGAGAAGCACGAAACCAGAGAGAAACTTCCAAGATGAGAAAGAGCTCAAAATAGCATCCAGGCTGCCTTTGATCCAGTCCAGTGCATTACACAGGCTGTCCTGTAACATATAAACCATCAGTACAAATCACAAGTGTTAGTCTGAATTTTATATTGCCTTTGATTCTAGAAGTTTGATTGGGCACTTACAGGATTATAAAGGTTTCCAGTTTTCCTGACAGGTTTCTTAGCAAGGAGAGGAAGTACCATTGAAAACCAAGGTTGCAGATTTCCAAGGCCAGCTGGCAAGGTGTTCTATAGCCAGATACTACTGGAAAACGAGTATCCTTGACATTCAGCTTCTGATGGGAACTGTTGGATGTGGTTAAGGAACACAATGAATTATTCCCAACATTGTTCTTGGCCAGTAGGCATCATCTGTTGTTAGCAGAGACATTTGGCTGTCCTGGTGCTCAGGAGACAGTCACCTTTTATCCTGCCTGTATTGAAACATTTAGAGAATGTACATAAGGGAGGCTTGAACTCTTCAGACAGAGTTGTAGGAGCCTGTGAATTTTAAGTTTTCCATGAATTAGCTGTGATACAACCAAATAAAAAATCAGTTTCCCTTGCTGTGCTCTTCTTTCTACCAGACAGCAGAATTAGTAACATCAAATTGTTATTTTAACTATGACTTCCAGAGTTCTACTTAGGTCCATTCAAAGTCTACAAAGAGCAAAGGAAAATTGAGTTGTCCTCTGCTGCAGAGAGGATTTTATCAGGTGCTCATATGTCCTGAGCAGTAAAGGACAACTTTATGGACACAAGCTTATGAGGTTTTTTAAAACACTTAAGGGCATTATTCTTGATAATCTTGTACAAGACATGCAAAACAGAAGTTGCTACATACACTTGCTCATATGCCAGTCCCTCTGCAAGCACTGACAAAGCTAATTAAGGAAACAAATTTCCCTTGTGTACATACTAGAACAAAACTGCCTTTGGAATAGAGCCAGGCACAACTCCAGGCACCACCCATACCACTCTCTGAGTCAAAGTGCAGTTACTTCCTCAGTAATTTTGGTTTCATGGCTGTTCAAAAAAGATTTGGAATCACACAGATGTACTATTTCAAATGAGAATTTTAAACATTGCCCTCCTTATCCCTGAACAAAGGAACAACCTGGTAACAGCTGAAATTTTCCCCATATCAAGCTTCTGGTAAAGCTTCACATTAATACAAATCTAATAGGAAGGACCACTAAATAACTAAGTGCAAAATTGGGATTACAGAACAAGTATTTCCAGTCTTAGCTACAGCTCTGGCAAATTCTAGTAGGAAGTAAAAAGCTGCATTAAACTCAGCCTCCTACCATATGAAAACAATCTTGACCTTCCAAACCGACAAAACAATCCTTCCAAAACTGACAGTGTTTTGGAAGTGGAAATACATGCACTCTGTGGCTGTATGTAAACACAAAACAGACAGTGAGAAATCCTAGTGGCGAGAGAGTCAAGCCACAGAGAACACTGCAGGAATCAATTCCCTTCACTTTTCTATGTCCTTATTCTTACACTGTTCTCTCTAAACGAGCTGCTGGCTGGGCCACATGTTTGGTTCTTTCATAGGTATGCAGAATCCTTAACTCCCTCTTCCCCTTCCAGAGAATGACTTTCGAAGCTGAAATCTTAGTAAGCCAGGAAGGAACAATAAAAGCAAGAGTTACTTATGTACTGAAAGCTGCTATTTTTACGTGGGGATTTTTGTTTTGCTTTTGTTTTTTTGCTGTGAGAAGGCAATAAAAGTTGCCTGTGATTCCAGTGTTTCAAATCAATGCCTTTCAAATACAAATTACTAAATATAAGCTAAACATCCATATAATTTCTCTCTCTGTGCTGCATACCAGTAAGCTGGATGCTAAAACCAATTTTTTTTCCCTTGAAAAGCCTGGGTAGATTCAAGAGAGAACTCAACAGGCCTCAGGGCACCAAGACTGAGTCCATTCCTATTTAGCTACATACCTCACTACTCACCAGCTCTTACTTTTAGCAACTCTCATCATTCTTCTTTCCCATGTGCTTTGGAATCTTCTCAACAACTGCTAGTTCACATTCCCACTACCATCCCATTTTCTACCTCATTTTATTCCATCATTTTAGAGACAGGTATTTTTCCTTAGGGTATTTGTTAGCCCTCATGGTGACAGCTGAGTACCTCACACTCTCCCATGTGCTTCAACACCTCTCCAAAAGTTAAAACTACTTAGACACATTATCTTTATTTTACAGATAGGGAGTAAAGATAGAGCAAAATCTGAGTGACATTTGAAAAGCATTTAGAAAGTTTAGAGTTCTTAACTTTCAGACTTTTAATTAATGGAACTGGGAGCTTAAGTTTTGACATTGTTGCTCTAAGTTATATGCCTTAAAAAGTTCTGTGAGAAATCAAAGTGTGATTAAGCAGAGGACTGAAACAGGATCTCCCATGCTTAGCGAACACAGAATAAAATGTCCAAGTTATCAATATGAATCCAAACATACTTTATTCAAAGAACAAGATTCGTGGACAGGACAACTATGCTTACAAAAAAAATTGAGCAGTAAAGAGAAAACTGATTACTACTGTGATTATCAACATCAAGTTTCACACTTTTGGTTAAGGTTCTGAATAATTATATATCCATACCACTAAGAAATATTAATAGTAGCTTAATATTTCTATAATGATCAGGTGTACCTGCAGAGTCTGCTTTCATGCTTGTATATTCAACAGCTTTTTCACGGATTCCTTATACTGAGACATGTTACTTTCTGTTTCACCTTCATTTTTAAGTGCAATTACAGAGTTTCTGTAATTCTTAACCACTTCAGATCCAAGCAGCTCTTCCTTAGAGGCATTACTGACATTCTCTGAGGCTTTTATTCGAAGCAGCGTGTCCAAGGCATTTTTCTGAGAGCGACTATTTTCCCAGATATACTCTTCCATATCTTCCTCAGACTTCTCACTCTCCCACTTCTCAGTTTTCTGAAAGAAAACATACACAAAATACTCAAGACTGAAACAAAGCTACAATAATTCAAAGAAAGTTCTCTCTCATAT